ATATATATAATTTTTATAACAACAGGAGGTAACATAGTGGCTTGATTGTGAACTATGTGCCTGGAAAACACATAATACTGCCCCTTTAATGTTCAGAGCAGAAAATCAGACATCTGAGCTGCCATACCTTCTTTTAGTTGAGTGGAGGATTTCAGTGAACTATGGAGGAGCAAACATGCCAGCAGCACCAGCAGCATAATAAGAATCTGGTTGACTGACACATGGAAAAAAAATTGAGAGTCAACATTTACTTGGAAGAACATCTAAATTTTAATTCTGTAACAAGAGGCAAACAATTCAGGGACCTGAAAAAAATTGGAAGGAAATGTCAAATGCAAAGATAAAAAGAGAAAAAACAAGTTATTCTTGAAGTGCTATACCTTTTATTTCATTGTAGACTGAGTCGTCATCCTATTATATTTTATCTCAATTATTTGATTTAATTGGAAATTCAGTTCCAGTTCAGTTGTTCTTAAATTTAAATAAACCACAGAAAAAATATATGCAGCTTTTTGTTGTGCCATTTCAAATCCAGACATCGAAAAGTCGTAGTGACACTGAACACAAGTGATGAAACCCTGAAGAAGCTGAAGGGTGTATTTCTCACTCGTCACCAGCAACACATCTGGATAACAGAAGAAGCTACTTTAACTCCACCACTGTTCTCCTGCATTGGTTTAATACAAAATGTAAGAGTCTGACATACTTGAACTGCTCTGCTTACACTCACCACCAAATCAACTCATTTTGCTGATAAACCTAAACAGGTTATATACAGTCCTATCTTTAAGATTCTGTGCAAATTTTGTCAGTTTGTTTATTTTGGCATTATTTTGCCTCAGACCATCTCACTTCTGGCCTCTTCAGTCAAACGATTCTGTCAGAATGCTTTCAGAATAGAGAACACCTCTGGCAAAATCTCTTGTTACCTGGATCATACTTTCCAGACACACTGAAAGAAATGGGATCCCAAAATATTTTAAATAAACTCTGTGTCCCCCTTTTATAACATCTGGTTTATAGGAAACTGTGGTTTGTCTTTATGCATTGCTTCCACAATCTACTATCACTATCAAAAAGAAATTAAATGCTTTGGAAGAGAATTAGGGCTAATAAAAAATAAATAAATAATTTATTCTGACTTTTTTTCCTCAGAATTCTGAGATTGAAGTCAGAATGTTGAGCAAAAAGTCAGAATTATTTTTTTTGTTTCAGTGGCCCTAATCCTTTTCCATAAAATGCTGACAGGTATTTATGGTAAAAAGCCCTTTAAATACCAGACCATGAGCTTTTGAAGTTCTGTTTTGTTTTACCTGTCAAAGGTAGGTGGACTTCTTTTTGTGTCCACATGGAAAGTTGGCAGGATTTCACTACTGCTGAGCTGGAGGCATGTGATTTATGCTGCCTCACAGTTTTCTAACAAGCACCATGATGCACTTGGTCGAAACAAATCTTAGAAAAGACATGAGCAGAATGAATGTTTGGTGCTGATCCTGATTGCTTTTTTGGAACAGCTCTCAGATGTTTGTGCGATCCAGTTGGCTGTTCTCTATGTGAATAAACTCAGAAAACATAATTCAGTACAGACTTGTATCATCTGGTTACTTCATCACAGCTCACACAGTTCCTGCTCCCTTTCCCTGGAGGAAAACTTAAGAGTCTGTCACTGGCAACAGCTGGTTCTGATAAACTTCCACTTTAAAAACTATGTGCACATGTATGGCAAACTAGACATTGTCATGTGTAATTGTTTCCTCTACAGCATTGATTGGATCTCACTTGGGACTTACTTTTTTTCAGGAGAGGCATATTTCATAATTCCTCCAAGTAGTATCTGCAAAACACACAAAATAAAAGAGAAAGAAAGATTGTCAGTTATGTTGACACTTTGTCAGTGTGGATTTTATTGGGATTGCTGTAAAAGTAAATCCAATTGCAGTGTTTTGATTGGCAGGGACTGGATATCACTGGAGGTAAAGCACTCCAAAAACAAATACTGCATAAAAAAAAAACATGTGAAAGGAACAATGAACAGGTTATTGAAGTTCAGGACAACACATCCAGTCAGTCCTAGATGACCCCAGAACGACCTCACCTCACTGTTAAAGTAACTGTTCTTAACTATTCATGATTCAACAGTATGAAAGATTCTGGACAAGAAATGTGACACATGGGAGAGTTTAAAGCACAAAATCACCGCAAAGCAAAAAGAACCATCTCATATGTGTGGAGCAGACTCATGGTGATGGTCCGGGGTGGCTTTGCTGCTTCAGGACCTGGACATTTAGTCATAATTGATGGAACTATAAATCCCACTCAGTACCACTGAATTCTGCAGAGAAGAGCGGACCAGAATTTCTCCATGGTGATGTTAAAAACATACCAGTTACGCCTTGGCAGTTAGCTACCACATCTATGTATTAAGTTTAGTGATCAAATGCTTTTTCTCATATAGGGCCAGATTGACTTGTATGTTTTCCCCCTTATATTTCTTAATGAAATAAAACAAAACATGGAAAACGTTTTTTTTTTTTTTTTTAGTATTTATTCAGGCTATTTTTTCTGTCATTAAAAGGTGTTTTATTTGTTTCAGAAGAATTTTGTGTCTTATGTTTTCGGGAGCATCACCCTCTGGCTCAGACAAACTGCTCCTGTGATGTGACCTGCAGGAAATTCACGGTCGTCCAAAGCCAAGAAACCGGCCAGCACATGTGGCTGATTTTGTTTTCCACGGCTCCCTTCCTTCCTGGTGCCAGGCTTAAAGAAAAAACTCTGTTTGCATTCCAGCTCTCTAAAGTCAAACTTATTCCACTGGTGGACTAAACAAACACAAATTTCTATGAATTTAAAGCCTTCCTTTCCCCACTGTAGCTGATGTTGCTGAATGATGGGTTAGGATCCTTCACAGGAACTCTGACAATAATGTGAGTTTATGAAACAACCAAAGGTAAACGTACAGGCCTGCTTCTTCCTCCTCTGTCTGCTTTAACTTTGCAGAGCATTTTCATGACTCAGCCTGATGTCAGCTGAAATTAAACATGTTCACTTCACACAGCACATTTGCTTCAGTTTTGTTTGTCACTGTTTGGAAAACCTCCACACATCTGGAAGTATTTGGCTGCAGACACACTTTTTCCAGAAAGCAGAGCTACTTCCTGCATCATTTCTGTTCTAGATTTGAACAATTAGAAGTCCACTCTGGACATTATGAGTTACAGTGCACTCATCTTTCATCCACATCATTCATCCACCCATATTCTTCTATTTTTCCCTTTTTTAACCAGATTAATATTTGCTGGGTCATAGACTTGCTGCAGAAGCCACAGGAACATGCAGACTGGATAAACCCAAATAAAAACAGGATGTTCTTTACTTTTGAGCAAGTCATGCTGCGTGTATTCTACTGCATGCACCGCTCCATTGTGATGAATTCAAATCTTTCTGGATCACATTACAGATCACAGAGACTTCCACAAGTGTTCTTATATTCTTAAACTTTCTCCTATTTCGCTGTGTTACAATCACAAGCAGATTTCATTTGTGTTTTATGTGGTGCTGTGGATCAGCTGAAACTAAAATTGACATCTTTGTCCTATCTGCAAAATGTTATGTGTGGAAAACCTTTAATTTTAATTTAACTTAAATTCAATTCAGCGTACATATATAGTGCCAATTCACAACAACAACAAAAGTTCATTCAATTGAATCATGAAGATTCCAAGTCAAATATATTTATTCCAGTTGATCCTGTTATCAAAGAATGGAGTCAAGTTCAGTTTTCTGTTCCAGTTGGTTAAAAAGTTTTCTGTCAAAGGAAATCCAGAAGATTCCATCCAATCAGTGACTAGCAGCATTCAGTCCTCCTGGAGCGTGAAGTGACTGAGAAAAGGAAACTCCCATTTAACAGAAGGAAACCTCCAGCAGAACCAGAACCTGGTTCAGTGTGAGCAGCCATGTGTTACAACTGATGAAAACACAGAAGTTCCAGCAGTACTTTCTATGTTATAGAAAAATAATCATGCCACAGGGAAGCATGTCCATTTGTCGAAATCCAGACTTAAATCTCAATGAGAATGAACTTAACTTGCTGTTAAAGGACACCTTTCATCTAATCGAGCTTTTTTGCAAGGAAGAATGGGCAAATGTTTCAGTCTCTGAATGTGCAAATGTGGTGCAGTGAAAGGTAGCTCCATAAAGAACTGACTCAAGGGGCTGAATACAAATGCACACAGTATTTTGCACATTTTAATTTGAAAAAGAAAAAAAAATACACAATATCATTTTCCTTCCCACTTCATGATTCTGCACTGTTTTGTGTTCTTGACATTAAATCTCAACAAAAGACACTAAAGTTTGTGGATGTAACTTAAAATGTGAATAAGTATAGGGAATATGAATATTTTTGCAAGACATTGTGTTAGTCATTGTGTGTTAGACAAATCGTAAGCATTTTGAATAATCTTTCTGGAATAATCTACTCACCATAAAAGAGATGTTGACACTCTCATCCCTGGATTACACAGTTCATGTTGTAAAACAAATCAAGGAGAAATGTATTCCTTTATTCCTTTTTCTTAAACTTCTTTATTATTCATCTTCCTCTTCTCTCCGTCTAACTCGTCTTGTTCACCAGCGACTTTATCTAACGGCTCTCTGCTCCAGAGAAGGCTGGATAACGGCTTTCTGCTTCGTGTTGCCAGCAGAGTGTTCCACCTCAGCCACATTGATAGAGAAGCAGTAAAAATCCGCAAAGCTGTGCTTTTTTTTTAAATTAGACTGTTTCCTATATTTTTGAAATAAATAACTGATTAAAAAAAACTTTTTTTGAATCAGTGAGCGGAGAACCATACTTTACACTTTAAAACTACATTTCCCATAATTCTTGGTGTTTCGTTCTAGTTTAAAGGACAATAAATGCGTAGCCCGATCCTCGCGTCAGACGGTTCTGTTTGTACATTTTACTCCAAAGGTTGTTTTATTTTTCAACTGTTGATGAGCTGTTTAATTTGTTATATATTTGCAATAATTTGTAACATTTGCATTAAAGTGCTAGTCTGAAATGCTAGAAGTTATTACAAAGAAATAGCTTTGATGTCTGCTAGTTCTCTAACCATATTCTAAAGTAAGGTATTATGTGCTGTAATGTAAGTTTTCACTTATTCACATCGAACGCTTAGTTCAAATGAAGTTAGAAAGAGTTAGCGGAAAATTTGATAATATAAACATTGCTGGATATAGACAATCTCCGTAAATATCTATGCTTGGCCATCTGATTTTACAGCCTTGGAGAAAGCCCTTCTAAGAAAATACTTCTCCCAACATGTCTGTATCCCCGGAGTTTAGTTAATTTTGTCTTATAAATAAGCATGGATGAAGGTGGTTTAAAACTGCTTGCGAAGCTAACTCAGGAGGGAAGGCTGATCTGTCTGCAGAAACACATCGCATCATGGGGCGCTGAAGCTACTGCTTCTATCAGCGGCAAACACTTTGGACGCTCAGGAGACACTTTACTGCACTACGCAGCGAGACACGGACACTTGGACGTTATGGAGTTCCTAATACAGCAGCTTGGCGCAGACGTGGAAGTGTTCAATAACGACTACAAGAGACCGCTGCATGAGGCTGCCTCCATGGGCCATGAGGAGTGTGTCGGCTTCTTGCTCCAGGAAGGAGCTAACGTGGACAGCCTGAAGAGGGCAGACTGGTAAGAAGCAAATGAGAATTATTATAAACACTATTGACGTAGAACTCCAGTTGCCGGAAAAGCTCAATGTTGAGGGAGGTTCCGCAGTTCCCTTCGATAGCTCAGTTGGTAGAGCGGAGGACTGTAGAGGCATGACGCTGAAATCCTTAGGTCGCTGGTTCGAATCCGGCTCGAAGGAACCGCTTTTTGTTTCATTTCAGTAGACATTTGTTCAGCTTTGATTTTAGCACGGATGTATCTGTATATATTTTATAATAGATAAAGTGAATAGTGACTCATATTTTACATTTACACCTTTATTAAAAACCTTGAACTGTAAAAATAGATAACTAATTGTTTTAGACATTGTAGTTGTTGTAACTTATATTAATTCAGATTATTCAAAGAGTTATTGTAGAC